GTAAAATAAAAAATTTTTTATTTTTTGAATTAATGAGTTCATTAAAGTACTTTTTTTGGTCAGTATAATGAACAAAGGACATTTCGGCAGAAATCGGAAGTTAGGATCATATAACTTATGTCTTGGAAGGTGACATATATAATGTGAAGTTAAATGTTCCAATTTAATTTCAAAATTGGTTTTGTTGTGGCTTATCGATTTCACGCGTTAAAAACCAAGAAATGTTTCGACATTGAAATTTTTAGAGTAGAAATATGGGATTTTTAATGGGTTTCGAATTCACAAAAGTTTTCCAGGTCAACACATACACAAAATGACAAAATGTATCATCCGACTACTGGAAATTTGTTCACTGGTAAATATTGCATACAACTTATGCGCTTGTTTCATAACATTCAGAGATTTATTTTTCATTTTATTTCACTAGCCACGTTCGAGTACATTTCGTTAAAATAAACAAAGCTGCACGAAGGATGAGCAATTCATTTTATATAAATTGCCTAGAAAGGCTTATTCGGAGCACAAGCCACATCATCCACAGCTTGCAGTACGTTATTATTAGAAAAGCATCCGCAAAAGTTTCAAAATATAGAAATTTATTGTCTTATTTATTCATCATTAATTTACGGAAGATGAAAAAGATGCAGAGTAATATACCATTCACCAGAAAGGAATTCCTTTTACGGATTTACGGACTGTTGTGGTTAATCTCACTTCGCGAACCTTATTTCTAATGTTCCATTCTGCAAATAACGCTCAAATGGCATCACATAATGGCTTAAAAGAACAAATAAAAAAAGGAAGTCTATGGAATTTTCTCATACACAAACGTAAAAAAGTTGCACATGACCAAAGGTTCCGCCATTTATATAAATAATTCGCGCAATTTTACATTAAGGCTACCATTGACAAATTCTTTCTTCTCGTGATATCATATATAGTAAAGGCTCTTTTCTTTTCTTTCCATTTTTGAACTTAATGGAAGTTTCAATAAAAAAATCATATTGTAAAACGCATAATTTCAATTTTGTTTTATGTGTTTATGCGTAATAAGGTGTATAAATTTCTAAATGGAAAAATGCTAAGTCCTAATTGATTAAAAGGATGTCAACAAATAAGTATAAGATTTTACATTATTGAAAACGGATTAAATGGATCCGAAGATTCGATTCGTTTAAAGTAATAAACCCATAAAATTTATTTATTTACGTTATTGTAATTTCTCCTTGTGATCTAACTTGAAACCGAACGATACGTTTCCGATGAGAATCCGTGTGATTTATAATTTATCAATCAGTTATCAATTTTTTTTTCTGCAGTATTGGTACAAAGAACAACGAAACTGTCTTGTCGCGCAAAAATTTTAAATGGAAAAGTTTTATTATCATTTAGGCAATGAATATAACTATATTGATGGCATACTATAGTATTTTAATATTTAATTAGAATTACTGACGCGTAGATAACGATAATCGATCGCTTTATAACGAATCATACGTCTAATATAATGTCCTAATCTGTGATCACAATCATAATTACTTATTATAAAAAAAAAATGATTTAATAATAATAATGCACTTATTAAAATAAGGAATCGAATGACTTTTTTGTCGTAAATCCTTATCGTAAATTCTATATTATATCAATCCGTTAATATAAATATTAATTACGTCATGCCTTCCTTCTTTTATCACGTGATGCAAGTTACTAGTTTAAAATTTATCTTGCGCAATTTTTCTTGGAACTTTTAAGAAAGAAGTTAACAAACATGCAAATTATAGATTATCATTATTATAATTATTATTATAATATATATTATACATACACATTTGATTAAGCTAATGACTTTGTCTAAAAATATCATTATAATATAATGTATTTGTTAAGGTAATACAAAATCATTTTTGCCAATGTTATCGCATATCATTAAAACCATAACAATGCTGTTCCGTTTACCACTATTGAGTAATGGAAAAGTTCTTTGTATATTACCAATCGTGTGATCACGAGCCAATCCAAATTTTCGAAATAGTGATTTATTGAATATCAAACAAAACAAGCGGAAATTCCATCATAAAATAACTTGTTTCGTTAGATATTCCTTTCTATCAATCAATTAGCTAATGGACTTCTTTGCAACTTCAAAATAATCTTAATACACAAAAGATTTGTCCTTTTCTCTTTAATACAAATGTATATATATATGTAAAAAAATAAAAATAAAAATAAAAATAAAATAAAACTAAAGCTTATCTAATCGAAAAATTTAAAAATATCAGAAAAACCAAAAAAAAAAAAAAACGAAAAAAATATTCAATTTCGAATCTTCGAAATAATTTGATATCCAAATTGATTTTTGATATTTGAAATCAATTTGATATCTAAAATGATTTTTATTAATTGAAATATCTTATTAATAATTTATAAAACAGTACTTATATTAAATTATTTTAAAGATAATGATAATTAAAAATTTTAAGTTATATATTATTATATAAATTAATATTTAAATTATATTATAAAAAATTATTTTAAGTAATATATATTATCATTCTAATAGTAAATTAATATATTTATTTTTAATATAATTAATAAATTTTACTAAATAACTATTTAATTAAAATTATTATCTAAATATTAAAGATAAAACTTTATTAAAATTTTATTTAAAAAATAAGAAGTTTGCTAAGAAAATCAGAATCTGAAAATTTTTTGAGTCTTATTATATTTTAATCTAATAATATTAAAAACTATAATATAATAAAAATCAGAATTTTATTAAAAAATTTTCAAAGCCTGATTTTCCTAGCAAACTTTTCATATAATAAAATGTTTAAATATTTTAATAAAACTTTATATAAATAAATTTAAAATAATATATAATTTATTTTATATAATAAAATTCAATTAAAATTTTAAAATTTAAATTAATTATTTTATAATATTAAATTAAAAATTAAAATATAATTATTTAAAAATAATAAAAAATCTGAAAATTAATTAATTATTAAATTATTTTTAAAATAAATCTATCTATAGTAGCGGTCATAAGTATCTGAACCCCTCATAATTCTTAAAGTTAATTAATAATATTATTTAAATTTTTTTTAAATTTAAGTTCAATACTAATCTTGATAATCTGTAAAATTATAGATTTGTATCATGTATAATTTAGAAGTCAGATGATCAGTAGATTTTATATTTCAAAAAAAAATAATCTTTTTTTATGTAAATAATTTCATTTTTTATTATTTACCGCCTAAACTTCTTAAATATATAGATTTTTTTTTAATATATTAATTTTTTAGGAGTTATTACACATTTTTTATAGAATTTTAGACAGAATACATAGATAGTTAGAAAACTTTCATAATACTGTATTCTTCCTTTTAATTTTTGAATAATGTTTGTATTTATTAACTTTTTGCTAAATTTACTCTAAGTTATCTTTTCTAAAAAATTCACAGATATAAGCCAATAGGTCACTTTTATAGAAATTATATGTAAAATTAATATCAGATTTTTGCTAAAAGAAAATTGGTTTATCAAATTGCAAATCTAAAAAATCACTATAATATGGACTTTTTAGCAAATATTATAACTTTTGTTTATTATTAAAATCTTTATTTAAATGATATTTTAAATATAATAAATATCATAATTTTATTACAATAGATATATTTTTGAAATTCCATTTCAGTCATTATTGAAATTTATATAAAAAAATTATTTTGTTTAATTTATTAAAAAATATTAGCATTTTACAGTCAAAATTCATCGATCATCTAATTTTTGACTTATATGTATGTTGTATAAGCTTATAATTTTACATGTGATCAACATTGATATTTTGAAAAATTTTAATGGGTATTATTAATTAATTTTAAGAATTATAAGAGGTCGGATACTTATGATTGCTACTGTATATTGTTTTTAGATTAATTAGTTTTAACTGAAAAATTCTGCATAATAATATGCACTAATATTTTACACATATATTCATATTATTAGAATTATTATTAAATAAAATTTGTTATATAATTAATATATTTAGTATTATTAATAATTAGCAAATACCAAAAGATTTTTACATATATAGGAATTTTGCTAGAAAAAGGTTGAGAATTTTTTTGACTAAATTAAAATTTTATTACATTCTAATTAAAAAATTCACAAAACCTGATTTTCTAGCAATCTTCCTATGTATTAAACTTAAAATATTTAGCATACTATTTAAATTGAAATAAAATAAAATAAATAATTTATATTTTAATATTATCTGTTATTAATTTTATTTCCTTTACATTAATCAAAATTATATAAAGAGCTTGATAATATTTTATTAAATGATAAAAAAATTGGAGTGAATTGAGCTGGTTTTATTTCACCATACATTCCTAATAGTTAATGAATATATAATGAAAATTTCAGAATTCGCCCGAATATCTGCGGTTTCGCCCGAATCTTTAAAGTCAACTTTTAAAGATGATTGGCATATGCGATAATTTGCTAAAATTTGTGTTACGATTTTTTTACACGTATTATTTTATTTACTCAAGCATTTATGACAAAATAAATATATATGATCTACAAACGCAACAAACGATCAGCAAGATGACGTTCAGTGATGCGGATGACGTCTCTGGATAAACATGGATTAGTAATGAAAATCGAGATCTCGTCAACCCTGAATATTTCAACTGAAAAGTAAAATCCGATTAACGGATTAACGAATTGTCACTGACTACAGCTAACTAAGCATAACTTTATATAAATACGCAAAATAAAATTATATAAGTCTGTTATATATGATAAAATTAAACATATGGGACCTTTGCAATAGAAAAGGGGGAAACGGCTGGAAAAAATAAAAAATGAGTTAATGCTAAATCTGAACATATTTTGACCTAAAAATCATCCATTAAATAATATTTATTATACTGTAATATTTGCGTATGAGCTCAAATCAATTTCCAAAGCATACTGCTTGACCCGATCTTTTACCCAGTGCGGTTTAGCCTTGGCAACAGTTTTTTTGGAGGTTGTGTTCGGTAATTCATGTACAAATTCTTTGGTAGGACAAAATAAAAGAAAATGTCACCCATCCCTGACTTGCCACCTAATTTATCGATAAGTTTTTTCAAACCATTCAACTTAATAGAGTGATTCTTAGCAATAGTTATCTGAAAAAGTTTATCAGGTGCAACAATTGCATCTATCGATTCAAAATTTTGATTCATTGGTTGATAATACTTGCTGTTTTTGATAGTATCGATTGTAGAAAACATAAGTTTCTTATCCTGTCTAGGCATCTTAATGTAAAAGGATGTTGATGTAGTGGATGCATGGTCTAAAAGACGAACCCTGGAATTTCCTCCATTTCGTAGGATCCGGTGAGAAAACTGTTCAAAAGTGCTGCCCAAAAGTGGATTACTTATGCCATCTGATAAGCTTGCATTCAGTTCGTTGCGTAATTTGTTCATTAAGACGTCTTGAAGTTTCTTGGTCACTAGTTCAGAAACATAATAAGACGCATATTTTATAATTGTCTGCGTATAGGGACTTTTATCATTTTCACAGCCTATGCCCGCCGCTTCAATTTCCTCATCGTCGACATCATCACCGCTTTCAACGTTTTTATCGTTTTCGTCTTCGATATCATCGATAGGGACGTTAGTATAGATATGGAAGAGCTTATGACTCATATCGCTTACATGATCACTTTCGCCAATATAATTCAGTACTCTTTCATCGCATGTGTCAATTGCATTTTGAAGCGACTTTTGCTGAGATTCATCATAAACCTTCTCTAAGACGAACCGAGGAATTCCTCCCCATTGAAAAAATAATTCTTCAACCATACTTTCCTTAAGATTATTGAAGATCTTATTCCTACATATGTTGATTTCTTCCCATGTCCAAACAGGCATATACCGTATCGTCGTCCCAATATACTTATCAAAGTTTCTATAATGATCTTTCCTGGGCGAACAGACAATGTTTTGCATCAACTCTCTTTGGTTCTTTGCCATCCACGATATACCAAACTTCGGGGTTACTTTGGTATTGTCTAATAACGGATTTGTCGTCAATATAAAAGACTTCTTCTTTGTCAAACAATTAATCCATTCGTAGCATTGTTGTCGTATATAATCGTTTTCTTTTCTTTTGCAAGTAGATAAAGCAAATAATAACTGAACAATGTTTTTCCAATACCGGGATTTCCGGTGATACGCAATCTTTGTATTTCCCTATTAAAAGCAATGTCGGCTAGGTCTCGATAGCATCTACGGATTAATATGGTGGTTGGTTCTAATGATTCTCCTAAAAAAATGTGTGTTCTCAGGGAGCTGGAGAAAATTTCCGGGTACAGTAATCTTTGCATCCTTTAAATTTTTCCAGTTTTACTGAGCGTTGGTCTATGTAGGAATAATAATGAGATACAAATTAAAAAATGAATTGACAGCCGTAGGTTTGTTATATTCGAATAAAGTCATGGTACTTACCCTTATCCTGTTCTTCAATAATGATATTGTGATTTTGGGGCGGTGTTTGATTAGGGAAGAGAAGCAAGAGATTAAGTATTCGATATTAGTAAATATGCGAAAGGCATACAAACGATAAACTAGAACCTACTTTGATTGTTAATTAGCTCAAGAAGCTACACTCTTGGTCCTATCCGGATGCCACATTCTTTAAGCAATAAATTAGTTAACCTAAGAAAGGTATAACCAGTAATACTTTCGTCACGAAGATTTTGAATTTCAACTTCGTTTAGTCCCAAGTTCTTTCCTCGTAAATAAGTGATAAGTTGTTTCGTATCATATCCTTCAACATCATCAACGCGAGGGTTAACAGAAGACATTTTAAAAAAATATATACAGTTCCAGATAAAGAGTATATTTAAGAAATCTATTGTCGCATAATTTGTATCTTAAATATCAAAAAAAATTTTGTATTACATTTCTCCATCTTCCAGCACAATTGGCTGGACAACTGAATTTTTATCACGTGATTATAATGTTCCCGATTTAGAAATGCATTTATTAGAGGGTTGTCTGTATTATCCATATATTCTTTTCGTTTGTGGCAAATCTTTGACGACAAATATTGCACGTTGAAGCGTTTAGAAATATAATAAGCATCCGCTTCCATTTCTAAAATAAATTGCCGAATTTATGAGTAAAAAATAAAAATGGGAAGGGATGAAACAAATTCACGTGCCCTTTGGTGAAATCACGTGTCACTCGTATCATACTAAACTATCAACAAGATTTTTATTTTTATCATAGAAATTTAATCAACAATATGCGCCCATCCATAAGTCAAATAAGAACATCTTAAATCGGGATAAAGTTTTGAAATAATCTTTAAAAATAAATGAAATAAATGGTCAAAAATCCTGTGGCGAGTTTATTTTTAAAATGTTTCTTCCTTTGGAAAATCATATAAAATTTTTATCCGCTTAAGGTTAATTTAATTTTGAGTTTTGTCACAAATAAATTAAAACAACCAATCTCCACAAAGCAAATTTTTTTTATCAAGAAATAAAAGTTGTTTTGTTCTAAACTTTTTAGTTTAAAGGATTTTTTATTTCATCCGATCAAAAAAATAAAAATGGAAATTCTAATTATAAACATGCGCCAAAAGAAAATATTCTTGCGGTAATGAATGAGTGTAAATTCTCAAAGTTCATATTCATTCCTTTTTATTATAAAAGGATGTTGAGATTAGCATCGATTCAAAACAAACCATTATTTTCTCTTTTAATAATTAAATAATATTTTTTTTAACAAAATAAAACAAATAATAATAATAATAGAATGATAGCAAAATTAGAGAGAATTTTATTTCTCTTATTCTCTTTTTATCTATTATCATGTTACTCTATCCCAACCCACAAACAAGGTACACTAGTCACAGATTATTTCTCTCCCTTAACTCATCTTCCACTCACAAAAAAACCTGTTACCCGATTTTATAACCTTAACTTGAGGCAAAAAAACTTGTCGCCAGATGGATTTGAAAGAAGGGTTTGGACAGCAAATGATGTTTATCCTGGACCAATTATAAGAGCAAATAAAGGGGATAAAATTTTTGTTAATGTAACAAATTGTTTTGGAGAACCGGCGTCGATACATTGGCACGGCTTAACTCAGAAAGAAACAAATTGGTACGACGGTGCTCCAGGATTTGTAAGTTTTCATATCATACAGTATCTATAATTTTTTTAATCTCTTTTTAATGTTTTTATATATTTTGACAATCATTAGACTCAATGTCCAATTCCAAACGATGTTTCATTGGTTTATGATTTCTCCACTTATGGTCAATCCGGTACTTATTGGTGGTACGTATGACGTTTTTACTCACAGTTTTAGTTCATTAAATAATTTTTTTTGCATTAAATTTATTCCTTTCGTAATGATCTAGGCACTCACATTATCTTACGCAATATGTTGACGGTTTACGAGGAACACTAATAATTCACGATCCAGATGATCCATATCTGAAAAGTTATGATGAAGAATATGTAATTACATTATCGGATTGGTATCACGATAACTCTTCGACTTTGTTATCTGATAGAATGGCACCTGGATATGAAGGCTTCGACCCGATTCCCGACTCTGGTTTGATTAGCGGGAAAGGAAGATATGATTGTTCAGCTGCTCCAAAAGATTCGAAATGTACCCCAAATGCACCGTTGGCAACTTATAAATTCAAAAAAGGACGGAGATATCGTCTTCGTTTAATTAACACAAGGTAAGATTGGCAAAATCAAATAATTGAAACGTTTTAAAAAATATATTAATTCACTTTTTAATGATTTATAGTACGGAATATCTCTTCACATTTTCCATTGACGAACATAAATTGAAAATCATTGAAACCGATGGGGAATATGTTGAGCCATACACCGTCGAAAAAATTCCAATTAATATTGGGCAAAGATATTCTGTAATCGTTGAAGCAAATCAAGCCATCGATAATTACTGGATTCGGGCTACAATGAATAAAGAATGTGTGAATTCCAACAACTTTACCATCAATATTAATTCAGCGATAAATTATGAAGTTGTCGGTATATTGAAATATGAAGGGGCAAAAAATGATGAACCAACGACAAAAGAATCCAATGAACAACATGATAGATGTAAAGATTTATCAACGAAATTTTTAATTCCTTTAAATGCAAAACCAGCACCTGAACCAGTTCATAAAATTATTACATTGAATACAACTGCCATTACAAATGAGAAAAATGTCACAGTTTTTACGGTTAATGGAAAAAGTTTTTCACCAGATTTTCAAAATCCCACACTTCAAAGGATATTGAATGGGGAAGATCCTAATACATTTCCAGACGATCAAGTAACATTTGTTTATGATGAACCAAATGGTGTTATTGAAGTTATACTAATCAATAATGGTAATGGTACGCATCCATTTCATATGCATGGTCATAACTTTTTTGTCCTTGGAAGTGGAGATGGAACCGAAGTAGTCAAAAGTGAATTAAATTATAAAAATCCTACCATTCGAGACACTGTTACCTTACCAGCTATGTCATGGACCGTTATTCGCTATGTAGCCGATAATCCAGGTGTATGGGCGTTCCATTGTCACATTGAAGTAAGTAATTATAAAAAGAAGTTTTTCTTTTTTTTTTTATTGTTAATTTTTTTTTAAAAAAAATTTTGTTTTTTCTTATTTAATAGTGGCACGTTGAGATGGGATTTGTAGCTCAATTGATTGAATCACCAACCGAACTCGCCAAACGTCAACCTCCTAAAGATTGGAGTTCGCTCTGTTCCAAATGATAAAAAACGATGAAGAACAAACTATATAAAGAACATTGTAATTGTATTTCAATATATAGAATAGATCTATTTATTTTATTAATTACAATAATAAAAGAAAAAAAAAAAAAAGTTATTTATTAATAGACAAACCAAATAAATTATTTCATAAATTGCCGAAACAGCTCGCTTTTGTTTCCATTCGTCTACTTTATTGCAGTCACTTAACGTCTCTAAAGAACTTTCTGTCCCAAATTGTTGCGTAACATGATTTTTGAATTTTCTAAATCAAGCAGTCTGTACATATAGCCAAGGGATTTTGTTTATACTCTGCTCCATACGAGTGAAGCTGCCACTTTAGCAGCACACTATTATTATTTGCTTTGCCATAGAAACAATCTTAAATAAGTAAAAATCTGAAAGGTTGGAAGTCAATGTATGTTGTACTGTTCATTGTAATGGGATAAGCGCAAAAATGCAAAATGTCGCATTCTATTGAATTTCACACAACATATAGTCATTTTTGAACTTGATGTATATTATCGAAAACAATATAAACGTAACAAAGGGCATGTTTTCATTATAATGATGTTTTTGTAAACGTCGTACCAATAAAATAAAAATTTGCAGTGCGGATTTTCGCTCACATTTACAGAAAATTTCTTTTGTTAGTCACATGCGCTGCAAGTTCAACCATATTTACATTTTTGTAACACTTGAGACGGTTTAATTTGTAAAAATTAAGCCACAGGGCTGAAAATATCACAAATTTCACAAATTAAATACTCTGGTAATTATCAATAATTTACTTGGAAGAAATGACGCATTTATGCAGAAAAAGAATGTTGCTACCCCCGCATATTAATATCCGCTTTATAACGATGCGAAATACAAATAATACACACTCTGCAGAAATAGCTCATTTTGAAAATTGGTGAACTTATAAGAAATTAATATGGAATTATTTTAAACTTGGGACTTCGGTTATTCGGTTAAACAAATGGCGACGGAGAATTTTATGAGACAAATGTGTGCTACTGTTATTGTAATACTTGTTTATTTGCATTTTTTTAACCCATTCAAAATAATTGGCATTTAGCCATAAATTGAATAGAGTATGCAGGGTGTATCAGCTGAGATCAACCCATCTACTACTACATACGATGTTTCAAAAAGATTTGACAATGAATAAAAATCTTTCTAATGAAAATCATTCATTAATTGGTTCCCTTAATTTGAAAGATCTCAATAATATTTAATTTTAATAATAATGGGAATGTGTGAAATTTAATTAAGAACGAAAATCTGGGCAAGGGATGGCGTAATAAAACCAATAGAATAACGGCATCACATCTATTGTCTCTCGTCTTTTTACCAAAAGTATCATCTTCTTTGAATTCGAACCAAATATGCAAGGATCGACATGGGGCTCTAAAAATGCTCATGAACCAGATGATAAAGGTTTACATCTATTTTACTTTGAAAATAAAAATTTTCAATTTTATTCTTTTTCGCACTCTCATATGATTCGCCATAGACTTAAAAAATTTAGATAATGTTTATTATTTAAAAACAATTTTAAATATATTAAATAATAATCTATTATCATCCAAAACACAATCTATTGGTTTTCTCAGCATCTATTGTTGACATTATATAACCAAATTTTGTTTATGAAAATGAAATCCCAGGTTTATTATGAATACGTCGAAGTGACAAATAATTTCAATGAAACATTTCACGAATGTGGGGTTAAATGTGTTTATTAATAAAAAAAAATAAATAAATAAATAAACACAATACTGAATATTGGGGGACGAATTAAAAAAAATTTTTCTACGTTTTTAGAGGAGATACGTCATAACTGCGCCAAACTTACATAAGTACATAGTATGCACCAAAATATTTAGATATCATTCATGTGCGAGTGAATTATTTATAGTTTTTGTTAATTAATCTAATTGGTTCTTTTGAGCTCAATTTCTCCGTACCAATCATAACTTGCATTTTACAGAAAAATTTTTGGTTTTGCGATTTAGATCTCAACAAAACATATGAACACATCACGTTATTTATCAGAGAATAAATTAAGGATAATTGGGGGATATTGTATTCAACGTTTCAGAAGTTTCCACCAATGTCAAATTGAGATTTTATTATAAAATACCCTTAACTTCCCTGTTTTTTTTTTTCCACAACTGATTATCAAATTTCTTCAAAATGAATCCACATAGAATTATAAGAAATCCAAATGTTTCAGTTCGTTCGATAGTATACGATTTCTTGGATCGTATTGATTACAATATCCTTAATCAACCCCCTTGCAATGGTAATGCAAATGTGCTCGCGGCATATGCAAGAGGCGATTCATTAATTCAAGTATTAACTGGAAAAGGCCTCTTCCGACAAAATTTAGAGAAGGAAGCTCGCCGATTACGAATTCGTAATAGACTAGTAATTAAAACTGCGACGGAAAAGATTTGGAACTTACACTTAACGAGCCTTCAACGCGATAGATTTGAAAGGTTGGCCAATGATGCAAATAATTTTAATCAAAACGGGATGCGATTTTTTACCGAAAATACCCAGGACAGGATCGCTGGCATAACTATTGTACAAACGACGAATAATCAGTTAGTGGATAACTTTTATAACGGAATGGTGTTTAATGATTGCGAATCTATAATACCAGGGTAAACTTCGAATTCCCTTAATATTCTATGTAAAATATGTATTTTATTATTTTTTTTTGGATTTTCCTTATTAGGCATTATATTTATTATTTATTATTATTTATTATATTATATATTTATTCCTTATTTCGGGCTTATATTCCTATAATTATTATTCCTTGAAATTCCTTATTTTGACGTAACGTTATTCCTATAGATAATCATTATTCACTTGAAATTCCTAAATTTGGTATAACTCATTCCTATTGAGATCTTATTCATTATTCATTTTTTAAAATTCCTTGATCGTTTTTTTATGTCGTCCTTCCCATCAAGATATGAAAAAAATTATTTTTATTTATATTTTATTTTATATTATATATTATTTTAAACAACAAATTTATTCCATAGATACATGTAAGTACCTTCCCATTAATAATTAATATTACGAAAAAATTTTATTTAAGATCTTTTTTTTTTAAAAAAATAATTTAGAAAACAGAACGAATTATATTTCAAATATTATTTTGTATGTGATAAAAATATCTTTAAACAAGTATGCGAATAAACATTAAATGATTTCGTTTAATTGACTCAAAACAAAATAGTATATAGTATATTTATAATTTAAAATTTATTTTGTTTTCTCTTTTTTTTTTGGTTCGTTTTTATTTATAGATATATTAATAATTTGTCATCATCCCTCCCCATTAAAACAATGATTGTATAACGTAACACAAGAATTTGAAACAATATGATTATGATTTGAAAAGTCAATTTTTAACAAAGGTAATTACTAAATGCATAAATCATTGGTTCGTTTTTTTTTTCGCCACACAGGGTGCTGTTTAAGTTTGACATGTGCCAATACGTTTTTCAATGGCTTGGTGAACAAATGATAAAGCAAATATTTTTTTTTTTTTTTTTTTTAAATGAATTTCTCACACCAAATGACAATTTAATTTAATTTTTTTTATGAATTTGTCGTCTTTGACAGGAAATAGATACATTCAATAATATATTTTGATGCAATCCCTTACATATTGAAAAGTTAATAAATTTCGTATCACTATGTCAAATAACATGGCTTGGTCTATTTATAAAATGATATCATCAAATTCTTTTTGGGGTAATAAGAACAACTAATGTCTTACATATTATTTTTGTAGTAACATAACCAAAAAAAGAAAGTTCAGAGCATCGACATGCATTACAAACAAATTAAAGACCAAAGATTCAAGTTACCAAATAAATCAATTGTAAGTAAAATTGTAACTTTTTTTCAGGTATATAATTTATTTGGTGTTTAAAACCATGTTTCATATTTTCTTCCCATAAATATCATACCACCCTTTTCTTTCATACTAATTTACACAAATATGGACCAAAGAGCGATTGCTTGAACTTTACTTTTATGGAAGGTTAGAATTATTCGTGGCAAAAAAATATCTTATAAATAGGTCGTCGAGACAATCTAATGGTAGACAAACAGTTTTTGTTTCTTTTCCTTTATTCCAGTATTAAATCTTTTGGGAGAAACGTTCGATCTCAACAATTCCCATATACGCTCAACAAGAAAACCCCTCGATTCACTTATTTCAAAAAAAAAAAATTCAAACTTCTTTAAAATGTATTCTCAAAAAGGTCAAAATTTACGTTCGCGAAAGCACGATTTCATCAATAAACTTATCGCTTGCGGGAATATCTATCAGCTTCCTTATAACAACAACGCAAGCATATTGGCGGCTAACGCAATCATCGAATCACCAACCAAAATATTAACCGGGAAAGGCCTTTTTCAGAAACGTATAGAGAGACAAGCTCAGAAATTACGAAAACACGATAAATATCTGATTAATTCTGCTACAGAAAGTATATGGAATTTACGATTAACGTCTATTCAACGGGATGGTTTTGAAAGTTTGGCCAATGAAGCAAATAATATCATTCAAAATCGAGCGCGATCCAATGCCGATGATGATATGTCGAACATGATGATGAGAATTAGTACACCACAAGTAACCAATCACCCCTTTGGAAATTGCATTTATAATGGAATTGATTTTCCATGATTTGAAAGTTTAATACTGCATGCCTGGATATTCAACATCTTTTCATTTTATCATATAGATAATAGAACAATCAAAAAAAATTCAAATAGATTATTTCTTTTATATATTCATTTAATTTTTAATTTTTTAATTTTTACTCTTTCCTTATCATCTTACATAGTAAGGAATTTTTTTTTTTTAAAAAAAAAAAAAAAAAAAAAAAAAATCGAATCTTTTTTTTATTACGGTCTGACCACGGGATGGATTTCAGACGACATCGTATCGGGATATGGTAGTCCTCGAGCGTCTACCTTTCCATAAATATTTATAACGTATAACAATCTTTCGGATAATTAAATATTAAGAACAAAATTGGCAAAAAAAAAAAAAAGAAAATATGATTAAATAATAAGATACCGATTTCAGATATCGATCTACACTAACACAAACATATATGTACCATTACACAATTTAATTAAGATAAATAAATAACATAATAAAAATAAATATAACATTAAAATAAAAAAAAATAAACAAAAACAAATGAATATCTTATTTGTATGTATCGGATTTTATTATGTCAACTTGAATAATCTAATGAAAAGTCAAAATCAAATTAATTAATATTTATTGTAACGCAATTCATTTAAATCAAAATAAAATAAATAAATAATAAAAAAAAAATATATTTAAAGAGATCAAAGTGGATTTAAAATTTTGATTTTTTGAGATCAATTCTTAAAATTCATCAGTCTCCTTCTTCTGTATGAAATAATAACATATTCATATTTGATACAAAATTTTTCTACCACGGATAATTAATTTATTTTGATTTTGTTCTTAACGAAACTCTTCAAAAATGTACTCTATCTCTATTCAAATGATTTTCCTAAATTATAATAATATTTACGCACAAGTGCTTGTGGTTCTTGCAAGAAATGGTAGAAGATTTCCAGGAAAAGGATTATTGAAACGAAATATTAAACGAAGACGATATATAATTTATATATCAACAAATCAAATTTGGAATAGGATTTCAGCTCAACGAAATACCTTAGCTGAAAATTCTAACCTTATCAATCAAGACCTCATGACCCGTATGACGAATAATAATAATAATACTCTTCTTGACAGAATTTCTCAAATAACCATACCACAAGAAACTAATAATACCTTTGAAGATAATTTTTTTAACGGGACAAGTTTTGCCGATAACAACGACCGCCAGGATCCGCTTCTATGTTCCTTTGAGTAAGTAATGTAAGATCATTTATTATTTTCACAAACTATAAAAATAAATCATAATCAAATTTCCCCTTTTTATTTTCCGTATTACAAACCTTTAAATGAAATAAATATTATGTTTTCGCATTTTTATTCGTTGTTTCCATTGAATTAATCCAATAAATTTGACCATTCTTAAACATGATTTTCAATCACATTGTTATAACGTGTTCACGGATTTACCTAGTACAAATAATTGTGAAAACAAATGTCTTCAGATTGAAGTTTTTTTGGTGACACGATCCCATTCATTCAAGTGTGACACGAAATTTCTTCCAATTATACAAGGGCGTGAAAACAATCATGTAACAAATAAACTTATATAGGTAGTGGCAATTTATCACCCGTACATTTGTATTTATGGTGTCGATGAAATTCAAAAGTCGCACAAAATCAGTCAATTGCGTTAATTAAGAATATGATATACATGTATGACTCGTGAAAAAAAATTTTTTTTTTTTTTAATACAATGACGAAATGAAAGGTCGTTCGCCTCGGGGCTCAAAATCTCTTGGTCAGTATATTAGGCGGTTTCTTCTGGAAAATAAGCATCCAAATTATCGCTAAAGGATATAATAGATGCGGTATTCAGCTAATCTTGGCTATGACAAAAAGCGTCCAATCGCAACCCAAATGCGTTTAAAATTGGGACGAGAAGCATGTAAATGATGAAACCGCACAGTTTTTTCAAATGAAACCTCCTTTTGTTTATTAGTAACACTGTGCAAATTTTGGTAGGCCAGTTCGTCGGACTGAACAAGAATCAATGCATGGGGCGGATTTTACATTCGGGGCAAAAACCAGTCTTTACTGCTTTCGCGAATACATGAATGGGCCGGTCTATGTTGAAAATCATAAAAAGGCATCTTCCTGAGGTTAGGAAAGATGCTGCATAACAATTGATGCCTTCTCAGGAGCATATGAGAAACGTAGCTGCAAGTGTCCCATGTTTTATGGATTGGCCTTCCAACAGTTCATATTTAAAATTTATGCGCTATTGTTAAGAGAAGCAGCAGCACAAAAATATCGGGATTTAGAGAAGGAGGAATGGTCAAAATTATTAAAAATTTAGTCGGGGTCGATGATGGGTATAGTTGCCTGGCCAAACTCATTTTAGCAAATGGCAAAGTCGAAACCTTATATTTCGACGGTATTTTTAATGAGACTTTAATATCATTTTTTACTTTGACAGGGTTTTATTATGGTTGCGAGTTTCGACGGGGTTTGACAGTGGCCTCCGAAAGTTTTGTCAGGCTCGTCCATAGCAGTATCAGATCATGTGACACTCACGATAACTTCCCCAGCGTAACCACCAAAAAATTACTGTCACATGACTTTCTGGCCGGAATTATGAAATTAACTGCGCGTTTTAGAATTAAGAGTGACTAAGTGACAAATAATGGTGACAAATAGGATTTTTCGCACCGAAAAAATTCCAAGTTCCTGGAATACTTATAAAAAAAAATGAAACACTACGGGTGTGACGCGGATGAATATCTTTACTATGATCACGTGCCAGTAATTTTTTGGTGGTTACTATTTTCTTTGTTTGAATAATAACTATAACCGATATTTTTACAAACTTTACATGGCGCAGCGCAACATAATTTATAGTTTTAAAGAAAACGGGGGGTATTGGAGTTAGGAGGGCGTGTATACATCGTGCGTAACCAATTTGAATTGGACCTAAATTCTTTATGGGGGTGAAACAAGATCATGGATATTCATATTCAGGATGACCGTGAAAAAAGAAAATGTTTGTAAATTTATAAATAATCATTATTTGTTTCATGTGGATAAAATGCCGGAATCTCGAAAAAAGAAATAATAACGAATGTTCATTATCATGACAATCATGGCAATCATTGGTTTCACATAACAATGACGTAACGATGATGTCATTTTGACTTCAATAAAAGGAAGTAGTGAAAGGTAATAACATTCAAAATGAAAACGAGAAATTCATTAAATGATAAATCAGATCAGATCATCAGTAAAAACATCTAAGAGATTTGAATCAAGAGTAATCTTCCAGATTAATATTATTGAATTTTAAATCGTATTATCGGATAAATGTTTTTTTAAAAAATCAGTTGACATCACGCAAATTTCAATTTTATTTTTTGTTGCAAATGAATTAGTATTTCATTTTCAAATTTATCCCGTTGATATTTGAATTCATTTCTTGCTTGAGTCACAGAAAATGGTGCCAAAAGCCTATATCAACGATAATACGAATTGTCACGGAAAGTCAATATTTTTATAGTTGTAATATTATTGTTATTCCGCACTAGTGAACATTTCATTTGAAATTAATTTCCGACCGAAATATCCAATGCTTTTAAATTCCGCGTGTTAGTACTATTTTGCATGCAACAAATTTAAGAAAAAAATTTTTATTTCTAAACAAAATTGTAACCGGAGTTTAAAAATGTTGTGTAACATCCTGATTGTGCGATTTCTTTAAACTTCTCGATAAAATAACCATAATATGCACAAATTCGTTTATGATTTATTGCATAAACAATATTCTTCAAGAACATTCCAAGTGGCGTTTCTAACGAAACAATCTAAAGAATTTCTTAGTTAAACAAATATTATGACGATTAAGTCTAAGATTTCTAATATAGAATTACAATTTTCTTCAAAAAATTGTTTAAATATACATGATTTTTGCTGCTTTTGTGTTAAAAAACATTTTACATTCATCAAACTTGTTTTCGATTAATTATGATTTTTATTTAATTTATGCAATAAACTGGAAATGAGTTTGGTATATATATAAAATAAATAATTTAGTTTTCACCTTTTACTACAAACGCCCATAACAAATATATTTACAATTGAAATTTTTTTTAAATAAAATAAGAAACGGATAAAAGTAAAGAAAGATAAAAATGATTCCTTTAAGGAAAACTTGTTCCATTAAAAAAATTGGCTTCATAGAGATTATTTGTCGCTTGTGGCATCGTTATTTGAGAAATTCTGTCAAGAGTATTATTATTCGCGTCATTCATCGTACGGTTTATATGGTTAGCATTCTCAGCTAACGTATTAAATCGATTTCGTTGAGAAGTTGTTGAAACCATATTCCAAATTTGATTTGTTGCTAAATAAATTATATGTTGTCTTCGTATATGTAATCGTTTAGCTTCACGTATAATATTTCGTTTCATTAGACCTTTTCCTGTTAATCTTTGAAATCTTCTACCATTTCTTGCAAGAGCGGCAAGTATTTGTGCATTATTATTATAAGGAAGAAGGTAAATAGTAATATAATTTACACGATTTAGGAAATCGTTTAATACTGTTTTATGTTGAACAGGCATTTTTTACAAGAATGCAATAAGAATAAAGATGTTTGTTCTTTATTCTTTCTTTTTTTTTAAAAAAAAAAAAAAAACAAAAAAAAGAGATGAACTTTACTTCTGATTATTATGTAGGTAGGTATTTAAACAACTGATACTTGATTGAGTGGGCGTTTAAAAGAAGAAGATTGATACATCAGATAACGTTAATGATTGATTAAATTTGAATAGAAATTAATTAAAAATAAAAACGTCTTCATTATGTATCATCAGTTTAATCTTGCGTATTTTGATTAAAATAAATAAACGGTATGTTTTTAAGGTTATTATTCGTGGTCCATGAATTATCAATGATTCGTGTCACATTTAATGTTCCTCATTTTGGAAACCGTTTGTAAGCTTATTTTTATATTAATTATTCATAATTATTAATAATTATTGTATTTTATTATTATAATAATGAAATTCTTTTATTTTTCAAAATATATCGCGTAACATAAAAATAAACGGTATTTGGGTTGTGAGATTTTTAATCTGACCATTTTAATATTCGAATGAAAGGGATAAAACATCTACGATTGATAAGACTGTTGTATTATTTTTTTTTTTTTGATTTTTTATATTTTGAATTAAGATCTTTTTTATTTCTTTATTTATCTGATTGCGATCTCAAAAAAAAAAAAAAAAAAAAAATTATTAACACGAGTTCTTAAGTAAAGATTTTTTTATAATTTTGCCGCATAAATAAATAAATAAATTGAAAATCCGTTGATCACAAATGACCACATCACGAAATTAATTTTTTTAAAAATTACTTTCTTTGATTTAAAAAGGTAAGTTTATCTGAGAGATATATTAATATAATATAATTACAACTTGGCCATTTTTAAGAAGGAAAGATTTTGATGGGTACAAAATTGATATTGATGATATGTTTAGCATTTTTATGATTTCTGCTACTCTTATTTATAATAGGTAGGTAAAAATTGAAACGATATCCAAGTCACTAGAAAATCTTAATATGGTTCAGTTGATTTGGTAATTGGATATTAATCGTAAATATTATCTTTGGATGATTCAACTATGTACATTACACATGCTCCTTTAAAAAAAGAAATTCAATGAAAATAGCTCAAGCTCATTTACGATTTCATATCATATTAATGAATGTCATAAGAAAGTTATCTTGTCAAATTTTGATGTTATTATACCCCTTTTAATAGAAAAATTAATTCAAAGTCGGTCCGGTCCATAAAATGATTACCTGTTCTCATATCCGATTTCGAAATCTTCTTATTTCTCATAAAATTTGTCCAAAAAATTAACCTTATTTAGAACTTAATATTAGTTATTTTATTATTAATTGTAAACCACTCTTGGAGCTGATCATTAAAAATAAAAATATTAGTCCGGCAAGCCAGATTTGAACTAGCGACCTAGAGATAACAGTTTTACTACAGTCTCCCGCTCTACCAACTGAGCTATTGCCGGTCGTTTCTTATCAAATTTTGAATTTATATCTTAATAAAGATTTCAAAAAATACTTTCAAAATCATCTTTTGGTGGCTTAGGTTTATCAAAAATCGAAAAAAAAAAAAAATAAATTTAACGTAAAATTATATTTTATTGTAATATCTGAACCATTTCATTTTTAAATCCCCTAAAATGCATTTAATATCAAATAATTTTGTAAAGCAAGTGGTAATTCCTATATATTCCAAAGGTCCAACACTTTTAGTACTTAAAAGAACTTGCCATTCGACACCTATACTATTTGATAAGAACGAATCAACGCCTCCGCCAAAAAATGCTGTTGCTGAGGGTGATGCCGTTCAAACACAAGCTTCAAGTGAAAAAACCCCAATGTCTCAAGAAGGTGGAAACCTTGCGTTAAAACCTGGCAAAATTCGTCGACCAAAATTTAAGTTATGGTTACATAATGAGGGGAACAGGTTTATTAACGTTTCTAAGGGACCGAACTACCTTAATACAACCACAGTTGAGTTTCAATAAGTAAATACATCTATTAAATCTTTGTTGGTAATTTTTTACATTTTTTTTTTTTTTTTATCTGGCATGTATTGAAAATGCTTTAGTAGCCTTTCCCTATGAATCCTCTCTTTAAACCCCAACCTCCATTAAATGATAGAACCAAAGAAGAGATATGGTTAAAATTTACGGAAGCAGAACAAACACCTCGTAAAATTGGTGGTGAATATGGAATTTCTTTAAAAAGAGTTGAAGCGATCCTCAAGTTAAAGAAAATGGAAAAGGAAATGATTAAAAAGGTATGCCTGCATTTTTTAGTCGGCTTGTTCTTTCATATTCGTAATGATGATGATAATATCGATTAGTCTTGAAGAAACTAAATATGGTTAAAAAATTTTACGCTGATCAAGTCTATATATAATAAAAATGATCAAAGAATTTAAATTCATCGGTTATTCATTTTTACCCTGTCAACTTTTTTTTTTAAAAAAAAAAATTAAGGGCATTACTTTGCAAGAAAACCTGAGAGAAAATATGGAGAGTTTGTTGGGTGCACGTTCATTTCATGCCGAACCTTTAACAGACATGTTGTCAAAGATCGGTAAACCCAATTTTACGTTGGTTGACGAAAATAAGGATTTTTCGCCAGAGGTATACATGATCTTATAATGAGGGCTCTTTAATTCAACGATTTCATTTTATTTAACAAAACACGTGTTATTATAGGATGCGGCCAAAGCGTTACGTCGTCCATCATTAGCTAAACTGCAGGAAA